TTTTTATAGATCATCTCTTTACACTTCATTTTAAACTACCTTTTTACTTTTTTAATTTTAATTCTGCTTCAATTGATTTATTTCATTTAATTACTTTTCTATGACTAACTTTTGTTCGTCATACTTTTATTGCAGTTAATTAAAATTGTTTTGTTATTTTTAAATATTTTAATTATACTCTCTATTTTAAATGGTCAACTTATTTTCAAATAGTTACAACTAATTTAATGCAGTTGTATATTTCTATTAGAATTATTATTACCAATTCAAATCATTTTATTGAAATAGTTATTTAAGCTTTTCATTCTCTAATTTAGCCTAATTTAATAGATTGTTTAGTCTTTCTAATTCTTGTTGATATTTTCTTAACTCTTCAGTATCTTGAAGGAGAGCAAACTCTTAATTTTCTTAGCTTTTTCTAATACTGGTTGGCTGATTTCTACTTATTTGTTAAGGTTATGATAATTCATTCTTTTGATTTTCTAAATTTTAAGGAATAGGCTGTCTGCTTTACAATTAAGAGTTTATCTGTTATTTATTTAAAGAGTTTGGATCTTATTATTTATTTAAGTGAATTTAAGGTTTTTATGGTTGTTTATATAAATTGTCTGGATTTTGAGTGTTTTTACATTAATCATTAGGAGTTTAAGGTTATTAAAATTATTCATCCTATTTAGGTTAATCATTTGGCTATTATTATGGAGGAGTTTTATATTTAGTTTATTCAGCAGGATCTTAGAGTTAAGGAGATTTTTTAATTTCTTCTGGCTTTACAGGTTATTTAAATTATTCTTCTGGTTCTTTTTTTTAATCTTCAGGTTCTTATGGTGCATTACATAATTCAAAGGGTTCAACTTAAGAACTATCTATTGGTGCTGATTATTATATTTAAGCAGGGAGAGAGTTATTACTCTGATGTTTAGGTTCCTTTTATTTTCGTATACTTAAAGGTTCTTATTATTCCCTTTTGAGAGGGTTTCTCACTTAAGAAAAAGGCAAAGAAGAATTGCTACTTGATATGACTGGTTTTCGGACAGTGTTTGGAGTCATAAATAATTCATTTGGATGTTATGATATAGGTTATTATAGCTGTCTGGTCTTATTTTAATCTTCTGGTTTTTGTGGAGAGTAATCATAAGGATAAGCTAAAATATGGATGGGGGATTTATTTTAATCATTTGGGTTTTATGAATATGCTCCATATTAGGTAGGTAGGGATGGATATGATTATGATATAAAATTCTAATTAACCAGATTTTATTATTATTATGGATCTTAATATTGTTAATGATTTACTGAATGATATTATTTCAAATCTTAAAATCTAATAGTTTGAGGTGCTTAAGGTTACGTTTAATAAGGCATATATTAAACAGTTTAAGGAGAAAAACTTCTTTATATTTATTTAGGGATTGTATTTAATAGATTTGATTATGGAATAGATGTTTAAATTGGGGAACATTTATATGGAATTTGATGAACTTATTATGATTAATAAAATAATTGCGAAGTTTGTGGGATTAGTTACTATTAATATTAGACAGTATTAGGGGAGAGCTCTCTTTTAGTTTCAGCAGAAAAAGATCGATATTTAATAATATTATTAGGATATTATAGCTGATTATGAGGGAGCAATCTAACTGTTTAGGGAATAAGTTTTTGTTAAGTGGATTGTTATAAGTAATTTATTGGTTATTTTATGATAATTTATTGAGAAGGCGAGTAGTTTGGACTTGAAGTTCTCTCATTTTCTTGAGTTTTCAAAATTTTATAAATTTATCTTGGAGGAGTTGTTTGAGTTGGCAATTCTTATCTTTTAATTAATAACAAATGATTTAAAAATTAAATTTGGGTTTCAATATTTTAAATAGTAATGATAGGTTAGTTTTAAATAATCTAAATTTATCTTAATATTTCGTTGAATTAAGCAGAATTGTTTTAAAGTGATTTCCTAGAATATCTTGGAGAATGTTAGTATTGAGGATAACCTATTTATGGTGCCTATCCCAAAAAGTGTAATGAACTACCTGATCCAACTGACTGAGGTCTTTTTATTATTCTATAACTTAATAATGATGTATTAGTAAAGTCTGTAGGAATGATTGATTAGTATTATTATTAATATCTTCTAGGTGTTTTGGTATTCTAGTAATCGTATAAATTTGGAGCTGTGCATTGAGATTCTCCTCTAAGAGTTGCATACTATGGTTAAGTAGTTTAGTTAGAGGGTTGAGATTAAATGTCTGCTAATCTTTTATTTAAATGTTCATTGTCGAATAATAGTAAATTCAATTTGTCATTTAAAAATTTGAGCTCTTAATTTAATTTTTAGTTCTCACTGTATAAATTGACATATTATGAACTATATTACCATTATAGTAATTCTCTTTCTTTTTAGTCTAAAATTTAATTAATAATGTTTAGTTGAGGTGCATGTTAAATAATGTGAGGTTAATGTGTTTTCAATAAATTAATTTCTTCATTTTTTTCTTGAATTAATTTAGCATACCATTATTCCAAGTCATACAGTTTTTATCTTAAAGATGGAGCATCTTCAAACTATTATTTTAACAACTAATTTTCTTTTTATAATTCTTGAATGTAAATTTCAGCATTTTTATATTATGTATTGATAACAAATAATTACTAACTTATTAATAGATTCATTTCTTATTGAGACCTAAATATAGATATATTATCATACTTTTCTTATAAAATTTAAGTAATAAAGTCATTCTTCTATAAAATTTATTGATTTAATTCAGTAATAGCTTATTCTTATTTAGCAATTTATTCCTTGTCTTGAAGCTCTAATATTTATTTTTGATATAATACCTCTATCAATTAAATCTTATATCTTTTTTTCATAATAATCCTTTTTGTTTACTAAAATTTTATGTAATCTCTCAATTTCTGTAGCCATTAATATAATATTCATCTTTAATTCAAAGCATTATTATAATTGTTAATTTTGTTCATTTTCAAACAGATTTGCTTAAGCCTCTACAGTATTATTTTGTGGAGGTAGCATAAATAAAAATAATTAATAAAATTAAGTAAACATATTTCAGTGGTTAAGAAGTTGGCATTAATTTGTCAAATTTAATAAATTTATTTATATTTATATATAAATATAAATCTAAGATATTTCACATAATTTAAATCAAAATGTTATTTTCCCAATGCCCAACTATTATTTAACCATTTATTAATAAGATTCCATAACCATTTACTTTACCATCTTGAAAAGTTCTATCAAAATCAAAAAAATAAAATTTACCCTTATAAAACAGCTCCATTTTAAAATATAAGATGACCTTTGCCATGCATCATTTTATTTTTTCCTTCACCAGTATATGATTTATAGATTTACATCAAATTGGATAAATCATTTGGATCCATAACACTTTATTCTTATACAATTGGATTGTGTAAAATTATTTTTTCAAAAATATCTTAACAAGACTTTTGTCTTTATTTTTATTTGTTCTAAGGAATTTCCTTAAGAATTGATCCCCCAGAATCAGTAGAATTTTTCTTTGAATGTTTTCCTTTCATAAGCATTAATAAACTAGAATTAACATCCTCCTTCTCTTTTTAAGGTGTAGATTAACTGCAAGTTATATTATCTTAACTAGGTCTCTTAGATTTTCTACTCTCATTTTCTTTAATTAATTGTCTTGATTTAATAAGACAACTTTCTAACATATTCAATAATTTAGTCTTATCACAACCTGCCTTTTCTTAGATCATACTCTCTTCCTCACTTTCCTCAGGAATAGGTTATATTTAAGGATGGATCTGTTATTATTACATATCTTATATTCTAATATTTTATTCAATTATGCTTTCCCAAGTTCTTTCTTATGGATCTATAGTAAGCATTATTTAGATTAAAGTTATTAATTCTTATGAATAGTATTCTTTAGCTGCATCAAAATTATCTTAAAGTAATTAGTAGTCAATATATAATTTATTGTTATCATCAATAAAATAAAAATCGTAACCAGATTTTAAAGTCATAGCTTCTAAAAATACAATTCCTAATGCCCAAATATCTGCTTCAATTGTTTCATATTTCTATTTCCATCCTTCAAATTCATTAATTATTTCAGGTGACCAATAACCATACTCTTCATTATCAGGAATATGAGAATAATTTCTTTTAAATTATTATGTAACGACAAAATGATCTGCTAATTTTACTTGTGAATCTTAACTAAACACTATTGAATTTGGACTAATACAACTATGGGACAATCCAAACTATTCTGAAAATTATATATTTACATCATGAAATGATTTCATCGCAGAAAGGCAAGCTTAAAAAGTATTATAAAGTTCTTCTTCTGACCAATATTAATTTGTATTTCTACGCTTTGATAATTCTTCTTCAAAATTTTTAATGTATTATTCATATAATAAGCATAATTTTGAAGTTATGACATAATCTGTTAGTTATAGCAAATTTAGAGAATCTAATTATTTCCTATTTTCTAAAATTTCAATCAATTAAGAATTGGGGAGTATTTGTTTTTTCCCAATAAATTTTGGTATTTCATATTCTTTATAAACATATAATAGGCTGTTTGAATTATGCTATAGAATTATATAATCTGAGTTTTCGTCAACCTATATAAATTAATAATCATTAATACTAAATTGTATTGAGAGAGATCCATAGCTTGAATTTAACAGTAAAAAATAATAATTTAACTATTTATATAATTAATTATAAATACATATTAATTCCTTTTATTCTAAATTTAAAAAGTCCATAAATTCTTGCTCAAATTCTAAATATTATATAAGATAAGAGATTTAAGAAAATAATAAAATTGAATTTCTTATCAGAAATTTTATTATTTTATTTAAATTTTAGGTGACAATTTCTATAATAGTTTAGTAATAAATAAAAGACTTAATAAAAAAATATTAGATATATATATGTATAGTGTCAAAATAACTCATAGATATTTTTGATTATTAAAATTTATTTATCATAATTTAGGGTTCTGTTAACCAAGTTAACTTTATACATAAGGAGGAAGTTTGTTCAATTTTTAAATTAATCCAAATTTTTCTATTGATTTCTCTGTTAATTATCTATTTATTAAATATTATTACTTTTAATTAGATAAATCTTTGAATAATTAATCAAATAATAAAATTGGAGTGAAAATAGATAACTCACAAAAGACTCCTTCACTAACATAATTGACAATATTTTATAATATTCCTATAAGTTTTCCTTACTCTGAAAAGAGTCCTCCTCCATTCAAACTATTTTTGATGTAGCAATCAGTTATTATTGTAAAATTGTCATTTTAATCGTTCTTATGTAATTTCAAAATTCGTCCTTTTGAAATGAATGGCTTATTTTGAAATAATCCTTCTTAATAACAAATCATATAAACAGATTATCCAACTTCTAATTCCTTATAATATATGAAATCTTCTATGTTTAAACTACTTTATAAATATTCTTCGCATTTGGCTAAAGTAAAATTTAGAAATTTTTAAAAGTTCTCTAAAAGATAAGCTTTTATTTAATTTTGTCCAACCAAGATTTATGAGCCTTTTTCATTAGATACAAGGAAAGTCTATGCTGTTAATAAGTAACTTATATGATTTTTCTTATCATTAATAATAACAGCACTGCCTATTTGATTAAAATCAGATTGAACAAAATTTGATGCCAAAATCATTTCATCAATAATTTATGATTATAAAAACAATTATTTAATTGATGGTAAATTGAAATTTAATTAGAAAATAGAATTTATAACTTTCCAATTAATACAAAAAGTGAAATAACGATTATATATCTGACCAATTTATACATTTTAGAGAATCATACCTACATATTATCCATTTTAATTAAATATAGCTCCTCCTTCTTATCCAGTTTAACTAATTAAATCTAAAAGTATTAATGATTATTCATATTTATCATTTGTAATGATTTAAGATATTATTGCTTTTTTATAATAGTTTTTATACATTTCTTATCCTTATATTGCAAATGGAGAGCTAATTGTTATTAATTGTTGACCTTATTTAAGAAGACTATCAATATATTTTGGTATTATTTATGTGTCTTTTTGATTCAACATTTCTAAAAATATAATATATCCAATATGTTTATCAATATTAAATTGATTTAAAGATTCAATCATAGATTTATCATAAGTTAAACAAAGAAGATTTAATTCAATAAATTTATTTTGTTCTTTTAGTAAACCAAATTTTACATATTTTTTGATTTAATCAATATCAAAAGTATTTATTTCTTCAGCAAATTTAGCTAATAAATATCCAGAAGTTAAGATTAAAGTGTGATTTTTTGTAAGTGGATGAAAAGAACATGATTATGAATGAAATATAGATTCTGTAATCTGAGTTGTTATTACCATATTTTTATACTGATTTATAAATGAAGGATGAGATGATTACATCATTATAATTCCACAGCAATTATCCATTTATTTATAATAAATTTTTTATATTTTTAATATATATTAATTCAATCAATTTTAAATACTTGTGATTCATCTTCATGTTATAAATAAATATATTCACAATCTTAATCCCATTCTAATGTATGATGAAATGGTTATAAAAAATTAAATTAATGAGTTAATTTAATGTATACATTTTCATATCCTTATAAAAAAGAACTAGTTGGTTTTAATTGAAATATTTTTAAATTTTAATCTTTCTAAGAAAATGATGCTAATTAATTACCCTTACTATCAAATGCTATACTTGTTATTTATGCTAATATATAATATTTTATAATTACATTAATATCTATCTAATGGTTATAATTTTACACCATATCTTAAATCATAAATTTACACTAATCCTTCAAAGGCAAATGCTAATTTTAATTTCTTTTATGAAAAACTTATAAATTCGAATCTTTAATCTAAATATTATATTAATTTAACAAAAGTCTTGTAAGTATATCTTCTTAATTATTAATTATTCTAATCTATTGATCTAATTTTATTAATATATTAAATACTTAATTGATAAATCTAATATAAATAAAATTTCATTAGATTTAATATCTGTTTTAGATAAACAATGTAATAAATCAAGAATAGAACATGCAATTATTGGATAATTATCTGTTTAATTAATCATCTCTTTAATAGTCCCCTTAAATTCTTCAAAAAAATATTCTGACAAAGCCATAATTAAAATTCTTAATCTCTATTTTATTCTCTATAAATCTAATAAACTCATTGTTTAATATTATCTTAAAATTTCATATTTATCTTTTTCTTTTGATTTCTTATTTTAAGGGGCATTTATTATTTCTTTTAATGAAAAACCATGTTTATAAGTAGTATATATGTAATAGTAAATTTAAATCAAGGTTTATAAACATACTTTAGGTTATTATATACATTTATGAAAATTTTTCATTCCATCTTCTAATAATTTAATAAATACAAACACTATGTTTGGTTTCTTCAAACATAATTAATGAGTAAAACCAGACATTATTCTATTAAATACATAATTAATCATTTCAATATTACTCATCATCTATTACATTAAATATGTTTAAATAATTAAACACATAATTTCTAAAGAGAAATAAACATTTGAACTACTTCTTTCAAATAATTATAAGAATTCTTTTGATGTTCTTTATAATACAACAATATCATTACAAAAACTATCCATTTTCTTTATCTATTAAGATATTAATTAACAAGAAATTTCAATAATATCTTTTGAATTATCAAGACTATATCTAGATAAACTTAATAAACTTGTAGAATTATTAATTTCAGAAATCTAAAATCTACTTTTTATTTATTTTAAACATAATGCTGCTGCTATACTATATTAAGTAGACATTAATCCACTAATTTAATAATTATTAGATTGAATTAATCTTGAAAATCCTTCTGCCATACCTTATAAACCAAATTAACATTTAAATATAGGTATTAAATTCAAAGTATGATAAAAATGAACATAAGTAAATGGTATTTTTAAAGATGCTGTATTTTCCATTGAATATTTAATTAATTCAATATTCTTTTTACAATCAAACCATATTAAATAATATGAAGAATTAGAATCTGATCCTCTTTGTTCTTTTTATTATTTATATAATTTATTTACTCTATCAAATTATAATGTAGATTTGAATTATTTTAAATAAATCTTATACAATAAGAACATATCACCCATCTCTTAAGGTTCAAATATTGTTATTGATTTATTTCTATAACTTATTGCTTAATCTTCATATGAAAGAATATGTAAAATTTCATCAAATTCAAAAGTATTCTATTATATTTTATTTAAAGTTCCCAAAAAATCATAAAAATATTATGGAGATTATTGTTTCAATTCTTATGAATAATTATATTAAATTTAATAACTTCTATTCGAATATTCTAATAAATCAAATTAAGAAACTTAATCAGTTTTGAATGATTTAAAATCATAGAAATTAATCATTTAAGACAACTTTTAAGTTAAGAGTGTATCAATATTCAAATATTCTTACAATTATTGTATATTAATCATTCTTTCAAAAGATCCTTTTTCCATTGACCATACAGAAACTTCAACTCCTTTTGAAAATAAAAATATCAATAAATGTGGTACATAATATAATTTTACTTATCCTTTATTAATTTTAAATTAATTATGAAATGAGAATTTCTTAACATTTAATATAGTATGATATATTACAATAGAATCATCTTCAAGCAATAAAGCAACAAAATGTTTAGCTAACTTTCTTTTAACAATTAGAGCATCATTATTTGAAAAAGTACTATTACTTGATTCTTAAAATAATTATCTAATTTAAATCACTTATTTTATATTTGATGGTAAAATTGTTTAATAAGTTGAAACAAAATCAGCAGATTAATTATCAAATTTACCAAATATACTTGATAGACTAAAAACTTTTAATTTTAATGTTTAATCAACAGCAAAAATAGAATTTTTAATAAATTTCAAAAAAATAATGTTTTTCTCAAATTCATTATTAACATATATATTCCATCTTTTATTCTTTTCATAGAAAAATGGTATTAAAAATATTTATCCTTATTCTGTTCCAAATATAGCAAAAAGATCTGTTTTATTATATAAACCAATAGTATATATAGAAATATTTTTAATTTAATTTAATTACTCTTAAATTTCTAAAGGTAAATTATCATTTAGAGATTTTAAAATATCATTTTACTCAAATATAGATAAATCTATAAGTTTTTTTGGTAATTCTGTAATTTCTTATTATTTAGATTCATTTATAAATCTTGATTAAGAATGTAAATAAAGCATGAATCCTTCTGATATTAATTTTATATCAAATAAATTATCTTATTAAAAACTGCAAATACGAAAATCATCATAATTAATTGAATCTGGTATATAGATTTCAATAATGCATCCATTTTATCTAAATAATAAATTATTGATTGTATATATTATCTTTTAGAAAAAATATTTAGAAACTTAGATAGGTGTCAATTATTAATTAAGTAATAATAAGAGTTATCCTTAATAAGATTAACTTTATTTAGAAAAACTAAATCCATTAAAATCTAGTGTTATACACTAATTATAACTTTTAGATATTAAACTTATTATATCTTAAATATCTTTCTCATATATGAAACTAGTATGTCCATTCAATTATTCAATTATTATCATTGTCTTATTTTGACTTTTAAATAAATGTATATTTCTAAATTTAATTAAATTTGTAGATGATTTAATTGAAAACATTTCCCTTTATTATTCTGTTTCTTTAAAAGGAGAATTAACTACATATATAGATTTTGAATAAACAATATACATGATCTATGATTTAGTATTATATACAGTATTAATTATTTTATTTTAAGGTAATCCTTTTAAAGAAAAACTAGAAGACATTCTAATTAAAGATTTTTTCTATCCATTTTTCTTTTTTTCTAATTATTTCTTTTCAATATATTTTAAATAATTTTATCTTTCAGTTTTCTTATAAGCTGATGTATCAATTTTATAAACTCTACATTTACTATCTTTTTTAATATGATTATATTATACCAATAACAGCAAAATCTGCTCCAATAGATGTAAATATAGTAAATCTTGGTTAATCAAATTCATCTTGAATTTAAAATATTTTACTGCAACACATTTTCCATAAATCATATATGTAAAGTGCTGTTCCTTCACCAAAACAACTAATATATCTACTTGTTCGATCACCTATTGGATATATTTATGTTATTTATTTTGTATATGGAAATTAATCATGATCTGAAATCAATATTTATTTGCCATCTAACATACTTAATATTCTAATCCTTTTATCTTAATGTATTGCTATTGCACAATTCATATTGCTATCTTAAAATTCTGCAAATGGTCTTCTCATTATTTATAATGCTGTAACTCCTCCTACTCTATATATTAAATGTGGTGTTGATTTTATAATTGGTTTTAAATTGAAGTTGTCAAATTCCCATATGATGATGTCTCCATTAATTGAACCTGTGGCAATCCTTTTTTTATCTAAATCATCAGCCCATGCTGTAATAAAATGATTTTAAAAGTCAAATGAGCCAAAATAAACAGGAATAAACAACTCTGGCATATATATATTAATATAAGATAATTATTATTAAATAAATATTTTATAATTAATAATCAAGAATCATAATTT